AGGGTGGAGGCCATCGCTTTTAGGGTGGAGGCCATTGCCTTGAGGGTGGAGGCCATCCCTTTGGCGGTGGAGGCCATTGCTTTTAGGGTGGAGGCCATCGCTTTTAGGTTTTGTGTGTGGAGTGGTTGGGCGGAGAAACCGGGCATCGCCAGGTGTTGCGGTCAGAGAAGTTGAATGGAGAAACCATGCAAATCGCTGGAAACGGTGAATCCAGGGAAAGAAGTCTGGATAAAAGGGCCATGCGTGCAGGCAAAATTGTAATATTGAGATTATACAGTATGCTATTATTATCATATGTACGAATTTTGGGACATACTACAAAGGTAGATAACTGGAATCAATCATACGTATGTCCGGCACCCATGTCCATCCAGTTTGCTCGGATGCATCGGTTTGGTTCAATTGCCATGGTGCTGTACGTTCACCTTCATATTAGGCAGTAATACTGGCAGTACAGATCAAACATTTTATATATTGGCATACTATACAGATCAAACATGTTTCTGTACATTTTACATCCTCCTACTTTCCCATTCGAACATAGAAACCGTTAGAAACCAACCCAACTGTCCTCGACAAAGATCCACATAGCCTCCGTAGTCCCCCTGCGGACCGGCGAAACCACCCTCCACGGGTCGGATGCGCTGTGACTGGATGTTCCGCCGATAGCGGTTCCATCAACATGTCTCTTGGGTTCTGGAATGTTCTTTCAGAACTTACGGCAAAAACAATCGGTTCGGTGGGTACAAACCGTACAAACCCCTTGTGGGAAAAATATCGAACCATAGCGAAACAACACATACTTGAGAAGTGGCTCTGGATTCATCCTCATGGTTGATTGTGAACGTGTTGCCGTCTTTGTCACACCTCATTCGTAGAGTCAGGAGAGTTGACACATACTGAAGCCGAACGTTCAACCACCTGACATTCTATCTTGACTCTTTCCCTGATACATCGCTGAGTAGGACAAACTACAGTAAGATCTTGTACTGTATGTTAAAGAGAGATCCAATATATGATAGTTTCCACTTGTTGTTGGGGTGTGCACAACCATGAAAAGTTGTCCCAGGCGTCTAAGGATTTGATGCATCAACGCCCGGTCTTCTTCGACATCTGAGTTGCGAGCTTTTGGTCCAAGTCAAATCAAAAATACTTTACTTCGAGTGATCTTCATTATGACATGCCAATCACATATTTTCATGCCATGGTGAAAAGCATGTTGCCATGGTGCGGGGCTTTGTGGTTCTCGCCTTTGCTTGTGAACTTGTGCGTCCTCAGGCTTGTGGTTGTGTTTGGCTGGTTGCGTGCCGTGTTGGTGTTTATGGTTGTGTGATTGTGGTTGTCTGTTGTTGGTTGTGTGTTTGTGGTTGCATGTTGCTGGTTGGGTATTGCGTGCTGCTTGTGGTTGTGTTTGTGGTTGCGTGTTCGTTGGTTGTGTTTTTGTTGTTTGAGTGTTGTGTGTTGTGTGCTTGTGGTTGTGCTTGTGGTCGTATGTGTAATTGTGTGTTTGGTGTTGTGTCTGTTGGTCGTGTATTGTACGTTGTGTGTTTTTGCGGTTGTGTAATGTTGGTTGTGCGTTTGTCGTGTGTTGGTTGTGTTGTGTGTGTGTGTGTGTTTGTGGTTGCGTGGTTGTGGTTGTGCTTTGCTGGCTGTGTACTGTGTGGTTTGTTGGTTATGTATTTTGTGTTGTGTGGTTGTGGTTGTAATTTGCTCTGTGTGTGTGTGTCAACCCCTGGGCCAAGGGTTCACCTTCACCACC